TACTAAATTTCTTTTCCTAGTGTGTATATTGCATATCGAGCGCGTTGAGAAAAATTTCATATATAAATACTTATTCATATGTATGCGACTAACTTTTATATATTCATATGCATCCTCAATAATTTAAATAAAAGATACTAACACTGTATATATCCAAAGCTTATTTACGAACGAAACAGAAATACACGCTCGTACCAGCCACCCCTTGGTTCGACGCGTCCATTCATTAGCACTTCATATCCCGTAGCGACGTGCTGGTAACGAGCCTGTCATAATTACCATGCTAACTTTATTACCGTGGATGCACGTTCTCCTTCATGCGGCTATGATATTCGTGCGTCACAGGGCAGATCCAAGCCGTACCTTCTCGTTGTAGTAGGGCACGAAACGTAATCCCTCAAACATCAACCCTACACGACACATGTTCATCGATTTCATGTCATTAAATATGAAAGAAAATATAACAGAGATGCACGAAATATAGAACGAATATTCCTTCTTGTGTGTAATATCTTGTGTGTAGGCGCTTTGTATAAACAAATGTCGCTTAAATGGCTTGGCTTTTTATATATAAAAATATATATATATATATATATAATAATACGCTTATCTTATCTGATTGTCATATACCTCCCAGTATATTACCTGAATTGAATTAAAAAACAAGACTTAAAGAAAGTAGTATCGGCGTCAATAGTTAATTCTTGCTTGCAACGCTTCCTCACGTTACCTACCACCATATAGAGACGCGGCAGCCAAAAATTACATACTCATCAGGATCGCTTGAGTGAATAACGCTACCGCGTGCACGTGCCCTCCCAACACCAGCGCCTAATTACATTTATTCAATATTTACCACGATACGATCAACACGTACAATAGACTAGCTGTGAGTCAGGTTGAATGAAATGCCATATAGAACATTGCAAAGTCATTCTGCGCCTGCTGACATAACTCACCTTCATTTCGCTGCCTCCGTTTTCAAAATTTTCGCGTCCACGTATAACCTGAGAAGTTATATAATTTGAACATGATATATTTCGAAGCCAAAAAATAACACTTCGTATTATTATTTGTGAATTTATTTGATTACGCTTTATATTTGTGCCCAAGTCGACAAGATCCGACACAGTTAAAGCAGCAATCGAGTAACTCTCACGCAGAGTGATCGATGACTTCATTGTGCTGGGTTTCCCATGTCCCTGATACGAATTCGTGCGAATATTGTACAAAAAGAAGACCAGGAGCCATTTCGATAATGGGCGGAATTATGGAAAATTCTGGCTAGAAGATCGATTGAATAATCTAGCGTTTTGAGAGAGAGTTTCCGTATATATTGTAATCGATCTAACGTTCACACAATTTAACATTAAACGTGTAATCTCTTCGTAATATTTCATAATGCGAAGTTACAACGGATCAAATGGAAAGAGAAACGAAATGTTTCTCTCCCTCGAGGAAAGTCACCGAAATTTTTCGTCCCAACTCCAGTCTTCCTTCTTTCTTTTATTTCACATAGCTTCGAAACTTCCATGTTTTCCGCAGGATATTGACGACGTTTCAATGGAGTATAGCAGCGCATCACTTTTATAAAGACGGAATCCTCCTAGAGGCCCCATGTGATTCTTCCAATAGACAGCTGTCTGTTAGGCAGTAACCACCCGCTGAATTGTTGTGACTCGATCTTTGACAGACAGGTCGTCCAACATCGAAAGAAGTTGCTTAAAATGTATGATATCCAAATAGATCACACAATTAAATACATTTTTCACATATATTGTGCAGCACTTAACAGAAGTCGAGTTTTACTTTTGAAAAGACAAATATTTTTAGCATTTTTGAAAAAGTAAATATTTCTCAGCGAATTAACAGAACTAGAGGTCCTTCAATGTTTCTTTATAGATTCATTATATGTGTGTATCTTAAAAGAAAGAGAAATAGAAAGAAAGAGAGCGAGAGAGAGGGAGAGAGAGATTAGTAAAAATTATAAATTAGTTAATCAATATTTTTCACTAAAAGACACCGGCAGATGAAGTATTCAGTATCTTTTATTCCGTAACACAGGAAATTATTTAATCAGTTCTTACATTATAGTTGTAATGTAATTTTAGATGCAAATGCAACACAAACTCGACAAACATGCCATTAAATGCTAGTGTAAGAATCAGTTTAGGCTCCAAATACAAACAACACTGTCGACCAAATGGAGGAGTTTTAACATAAAAGGACGACACTTCGGAAGGCGATGCGTTATTGTGGCTTACAGATAAAAGCGTGGACTATAACAGAACGACTGCAGCTCAGCATGACAATGCAGGTGCCTCATCCCACGTCAAAACTCAGCGTGGCGCCGCACGGAAAGATGGGTACTGGAACGCGATCGAGTAGACTGTAATTGTTTAACAGGATTAGCCCACGGCTGAAGTTTGCACGCCGTTTCCGAGTAGAGGGTTATTGATATTTATCCGGTATTAGAGCAGGCTAAATACGAGTTTATCTGTTTTATCCCTGCAAATTCCGTTAAAACACGCCCCTTGTATTTGTCTGGTCAGTAATATGTCTTATCGTCACGGGAACACGTATAATATCCCAATTCTGCTGTGTCATCTTGCTAATATTAGAGGATTTGACGAAGAAAGACATAACTTCGTACGGAAATAAACTTCTCGGTCCAAATTCTTTCCTACGGAATTTATTAAAAGGAAATATTTGAATAAAGAGTCTTTTGTTTCGTCCACCAAAATCTAAGTTATCTTTCATACATTTCAATCACATTTTTAAGTTTTTCATTACTAAAGAACTTATCGATATTAAGAAACAGTGACATACTCTATTTCTCAGAATTTGTTGAATTTGTGCAAGGATACACAATGAAATTTAAGATTAATGATACGGAGATGACCAATATTTATTGATGTCGATGTGCCGTCTCAGAGATTGTGTCAAATGCTTGAAAAGTACGAAAACTCTGAATTACGTTATGATAGAGATAAGGTATGTAAGCGCGCGTTCGGGTGAAAAAGATTAGCCGACGGCGGGAATCAGGACTATCAAACGTCACTACGGCTCGATCAAGATGAAGATTCCCTGAGCTGATGTACGGGACAGAACGGATGTCGCGGGTGGCCGCAGGTGGCGCCCTCGATATAAGCTCTTCTGACTGAACTGCTGATACGGGACCACGCTTCTAAAACTCTCACGGTGGAATGTGTCATCCTGTCACTGCGCTCTCGCACGGGGTAGGAGGTATCTTATGTGCCGTCATGCGTCGTCCTCTGGACGAACGAGCTCCTGTCGCCTTTTTCAGACCCTCTCATTGCCAAAATGTTCACAATTCCATCATCAAATAACATTTGAAACAATATTTCATTTCAAAAATCAATCTGACCAACATATTTACATCAAATGTAACGACATTCTTGATATTAAATTTAGCATGCGTTTCGAAATATGCTGATAGTTCTGTATTCGCGTTACGCAATTGTTTTCAGCGTGCTATAAAATAAGTATAGTATAAAACTTATTTTCTCTACATTAAATAATTAAGTAAGTTCTAGAAAATTGCTGACTTTCAGCAATTCTACGCATTTCAACTACACAATATTGAATCACTATAAGTTCAGCAATGCATATGACAACCGTCGCTTAACTCAACAAATTCTGAGAGAGAATATGTCACTGTTTCTTAATATCGAAGTTCTTCAATGGAAAACTTATAAATTCAATTGAAATGTGTGGAAGGTAACTTAGATCTTTGTGAACGAATCGATATTTTAGTGACTAATTAAAAAAAGTATATAAAAGAGAAAATAATTTAAATTACGTAATAGCACAATTATTAAAATTTTACTAGATAATTATAAAAAAAAGCATTATCAATGAATAATTACGACTGTTTAAAAAATCGTCATAAAGATAACCATAAGTTTATGTTATCCATATTTTCTACTAATATTACATGTAACACATCAATAATTATATATAATAACTACTGGTATACTACTAATATACATTTTGATTTTCAGTATTGCTAGAATCTAATAATAATTCTAAAACAATTGAGACATACATTGATTTCGACAGCAACAAATGAATACTGTGTCAACATATTTCGGAACTCAATTTTTATTGTATTATTGAAAGTCAATAAATGAAGCATCGATAAATATAACAATTTTTAGATAAAAAATTCGTTATGAAATTGATACAATTTTTAATATTTTTTACAGACATGGCACAAGATGTGACTTAGCCCTTCGTTATAACTTTAGAAGTAGTGTATTGTCATGTCAGGGTCTCGATGACGTGGAGATGATGAATATCCTAACCCTCTGAAGAGTCACAAATTGTTTCGTGCGTCGCGTGCCTGACCGAAATATCTTTCTTATTTATTACCGTGACACAGCTACCAAATTAAATTATCCATCTTCAATTCCTTTTTTCTTTTCTAGATAACGTAATAGTATCCACACGAAAGTTATATGCATGTGCGCTTCCCTTTCATTTTATTTTGCATTTTTTACATAAATTTGCTTGCCCTTTTGAAAATGTATTACTAAAAACGATTAATAATAAAATAATGGGAAAGCATGGTCATCCGGTAACAGCAATCCGGTTCTCTTACTGATTAATAAAACGGAATAGACCACAGCTATAATTAAACCATCAACCGTCAAGTTATAATAAAAACGCAGGATGCTAGTACCTTGAGGCGAACGAGACACGCAAGCACATAGAAGGATCCGTCAAGAGCGCGAAAAGAAAAAAAGGCAGAAGGCACAAAACAACCTATCCAGGGTAGAAGGGCGGAGGTTGCCTGCCTCCGGATAGCATAGAAGGTGGGTACCAAGATATAATACCCGACTCCTACCCGCGACGATAAGTGTCAACTGCAGCGTGCCAGATAAAAAGAAGGAACGAAAAATAAAATCCACACTGGTGATCCATCATGAGGTAGTGGACTCGGGGCGCGCAGGCTCGCTCACGATTGGCTGACACCGCCCAAACGCTATCACGTGATCACGTCTACATGCCCGCCCACTGACGATGGAACTCCCCTTGAAACTAACCTCACTTGAGTGCAATGCTTCCACTCTATATCGGGGCGATACGTCCGAGTGAGAGAGAGAAGGAGAACCTGGACACACCAGACCACCACTACGGGCCGGTCTCACCTGTGTGCAACTTTCCGCCAAGCTAGTCCACCTAACCAGTCCACTTCAGCGACCCATGTTGGACGGATCGACCGCACGAATGCCCACATGAATTACTTAAACGGACGACAGTTAACATTCCGTAGTACCTGGGAATTGACACTTTTAATTGCTCGCTGCGGACTATCGGACCATACCAACCTTCGGATTTAGATTTTGGACACCTATTGCAAAGTTATACAAATTCACAAATTCGAGTCGATATAAATCTTATGTGACGTTCCAGTGCACACCTGTGACCACGACTCTCGTTTGAAGATTCGATACCTAGTTATACCTGTGACTTCATGTGAACATTGTTTTACTTCGAGATCTTATCGAGTACTAGCTGATGTTGTGTTCATCAAGAATTTGCTTAAATGGACAAACCTTGTTCACGGTTCTGTGGTATTGATATGAAACGAAAAACTTGTAAATACAACATTGTTCGACGTTGTACGTGCAATGTTGAAGTGATCCATTGAGGAAACGGTGCACGATTCTCAACGAGATGTAGATCGCTTCTCTTGCTGCTCATTTTGTTTTGGATATTACACGTCAAAGTTGCCAAGAGAGCAAAACGATATTAGACGGTGAATGGTCAATTGATGCATTCGTCTCTCCGTTACGAGGATGATGATGATGGACATGGGCATGTACGGGACCTACGGCAAGCCTGACTCATACCCTAACTACGTGTTCTCGGGTCAAGGAAATCATCACCATCATCATCATCATCATCACCAGCCATCATCCGTTGGCGGTCACGTGTCGGTGCCTGCCTCCCCGGAGATAGCTCCAACTCATTACTACCCCCAGACTGCAGTGGCGCCGTATTCTTCGTCGTCCTCGGAAAGTTTTCTAACCGCCGAGTCGGGCGCGTCGTCCAGCACGCCACCGCAAGGCTTCTATTCTCCGACGGGCGCCGTTCTCCACGAGGATGGCTCCACCACAGCAATAATCTCCTCGGAGAACGGTCTAAGTTACACGAATCTAGATTACGCGTCGTCCTCGTCGTACTCGAATCAACAGCAACATGCGGTAACTTCGGTTGATCCGCATCAGAACTACCATGTTCAGCAGTCTGCCTACCGGGAGGATCACCATCATCATCACCATCATCACCATCCACCGCCAGCTGCCACTAACCTCCATCAAACCACAGTACCTCAAGCTAGTCACCCAAGAGCGGAGCACGATCAGCAACTTCATCATCAGTCCTCTAGTCATCACCATCACCACCATCATCACGACCCCGATTACCAAATAACCGTTGGCGGAACCTCGAACTATCTCCATCAGTTGTCACCATCGGACGAGTCCTTGCAGTACCACACGCAGATTCGGCAGAGCGAGTTTTCCGCGCATCAGTCAGGACATTATAAAGAGGAGAGTACGGACGCAACGACCTATCACGTTTTACAGCAGTCTGGCCATTCCCAGCACCCACATCAGCATGGACATCATCATCAGCAACATTCACATACGCACCATCCGCAACAGCAACAACAGCAGACGCAAGTGCCCACTTACAAATGGATGCAGGTCAAGCGCAACGTACCCAAACCAGTCGGTAAGTCCGTATTCGTACTTGCTTTAAATTTCCGGTCGAGTCGACGCCTATGCACAGTGAGCAAACTAGCGTGAAATTAGGTATTCTGTGAACGCGATCCGGTAGTCACTTGTTAAACCTCGTTCATCGCTTGATTAGCCCGAAGTACGAAGATGCAGAATCACGACTGTCCATCTTTTATGTTGCCCGTTATTTGAAAAACTATCATTGCTGGATAGCGTGCCTCTCATCTTCAGGGGGATAATATCGCCGTGGGAATTCAATTATAAACAGATACGTATACGATTATCTTCGCTATTATCGCATGAATACCCCAAATCAGGCATACAGTCTCGGTTTAATCAATACATTTGTATAATGTAAATATTTTCTTTAGAAAGCAATTATTTATAAAATATAGTGATATATTTATCCCTATAAAAAATAACTCTAATCTGATATATTATTTGCAATTTCTACATTTTCATTATTAGGTTTATGCATTTTACGTGTGACTAATATCACATTTTTATGAAATATTTATCGTACAATAATATGTTATGATGCAATATAATCTTCTAACGATTAGAAGACTTATTCGAAGCATATAGAGAACGTTTATCCGCTGATCACTAACAAGACAATAAGGAACCTCAGTTCCTGGAAGCACAATTTAATCCAATCGGGTCTCGTTGAAGGCACTTTACATAAATTCAGCACATCGATGTAGTATTAGACTAACACTCGATCGAAGATCAACAGTTTTTACGAAGATGGTATTCAATTAACCTCAATTATCACATATTTTATAATTTTTTTTTTTTTTGTAAAATTGTATGTAAATCTATCATTTCTTGACCAATATATTCATTAAATGAACTTATTCGAAAAAAATTTTGACATGAACAGAAAGTCGTTGTAATGAAAAAATACCAAGAGATAACATTATCTTACTAATTTATTACTAAAACTTGTTGATTGATATAAATGTTATAGATTTTAAATAGTACAAGTTGGTCATAAAACGTATATCTAAAGACTAAGATTAATAAACAAGGCGGACAATTTGTCAAGAGCAGAATGTAACATGTTACTCAGTAATCGTCGAGGTAGTCGGCTCTCAAATGATCTGTATGTATCAGAATTAATAAAACGTGACGTGTAATCTCGATTCGCCCTATAATCATTAATCTTGTGCGCAATTTGCGATTCGCCACTACATTTCTTATTGATTTTCTTATATTCCATCAAGTGTTTTTTTCTTAATCCACAACCCAGACACGTCTCTTTAGCATTTTAATTCTGAGCACTTCTAATTCTGCGCACCTATTATTTAGTTCGTTTTTTACAAAATTAGGGTGATTTGAAAATACTAAAATATGTATATATCTTTAAAGTATTCACTAAACATTACAATACGTTTTAAATATTAATCTTTTCATTAAGAAATTGAATGAAATCTATGAAACCTATAAACTATCTTGAAAAATAATATAAACGATTAAATAATATTTTCTTGTCTATATATATAAATATAATTCTAACACTTTTCTTTAAATTTATTGTTAACATACATTTTTGCAAAAAAACATTATAATATATAATTAAAGTCATTAAATATAATACTAAAGACTGCTTGAGTTATTACTTATAAATTACTGCTTGAGTTATTACTTATAAATTACTATTTATAAGTTACTGTTTATAAAATTCAATATATCAATTCTATGATAAAAACAATATTTCTCAAGATATTTATAATAGAAACTTTTATATTTATAATAGAACTTATCTTGCGCCGCACATGTTATTTTGCTTTACAATTTGACTCGTTTATGGCTATATAATAATAATAATAATAATCACCATCATCATCTGTTGGCATCGCAGCTTGAAACGAGCCTTGACTTACATTTATATGATAATCATATATTTAATAGATAAGATTGTACTCAAGCAAGAAGAATAGAAAATATTCTTTTCTCTTGTAATATTTAATTGGATATGAAAGACTCATTCGTCGTATTGTCATACAAATGTCATTCCAATGTCATGCAAATTGCGCATTTGAAATTAAATCCACTATATATCTGTACTTTTATTTAAACAATATAATTTATTTAATTGTTATATGACATTAAATCTTTTCATGCGCCTTTTAATCTACATATATTAAATAATTGGATATGTGTACATAATATAAATATATATATATATCTCTCTAACAATTTAAATAAACTTATATTGAAAGATAATTCCAATAATCATTTTCATTGCATGATATCTTTGTCCATACTGATAAGAGCATATGAATATTATTAGAATGCAGAAACGTGTCTAGATGAAACGTCCAGATAAAAGAGATTTAACTGGCGGAAAAATAATAAAAATGATATACGGGATATGATAAGTTGCTAGATTATGCGTGAACGTGTTTATAAATACTGTGAATGTAAAATCCCGATCTACAATCTCTGCGTGTACAAACATGACGTATTGCAGGATTTAGATTGTACAATAGTAGCGGAAACATTAACAGATTACGATAAGATTCGCGATTAAGTAGAACTGTCTTGCACTCAAATTTATCAGATTAATTCCTGACGCTGATAAGATAATTCGTTTATTAAACAAGCATACTTGCGTGTGAATCAAAACTCAATATCTCGATTAAAAGGAAAATATAATGCTTATTTATTTCCTTGTTTATTAGGACATAAATATCTTCGTTCTCCACTTCTTTCAATAAATAATATAGCGTGATATTTTTATATATTTTTAATATTTTATATAATTTATATATTTAATTGATATGCTTCCATTAATATACCTTTTACGCATATTCAAGTCAAATAAAATATTACGCCAGAATTAATAAACCGTTTTACTTTTGTAATCAAAAGACTCTATTAAGGTTTCGACATTTTTATTAAAAAAAATATCGACTTCAAATTGATGAAGAAATAGAACTACAAAGTTTAGCAGCTTAGTTTGAAAATACCAGCTAAAAAAGCGACCTAATTCAATGTCGAGTTGATGACTATAAAAGTGATACAGTATAGCCCACTGAAAATAACGCCTAAAAAGGTCGGAACAGTTCCCCTAACTTCACACTAATTTGCTTAACAGCCACGGTGCTCCCCGCAATCTTCTAACTCAGAGAGTGAGTGCGAGCTTAGTCGTTGGATGGAGCTTGTCAGGATTACCAGCGTTTCACTTAATAGCTCATTATAATCGAATTAATAACGCCAACGTAGGCACTAGAGGGAGTGACGTTTATTGCAGCGGAACATGCAAACCGAAATGAAACTTTGTCACCCTCGTTTAACCCCTCTCGTTTTTACTTCTACTATCATATCTTGATGTTTCTAATACACCACTTATAATTCAATTTTTCTCGACAAATCTTTTGCTGTAACTATAATTTATTATGTTATATATGCGATTTTAGAGTTTTTTTCCAACTATACATTTTTGTAAATACATAATATTTCATGTAGTAATTATAATTAAAAGTAATACGTACAGTTACAAAATCCGTTAAACTAATAATTATTTTTCGAAAATACATTAATATTAATAAAATATACATTTTAATCCATTTTTTAACGCGATCTACTCTTTGTAGCTTCGTATATTTTATTTATTTAGTAACTTAAAAAATAAAAATAAAATTACCTTCACGTCATAAGATTAACGTATTAATCAAATCATTAAACATCAATAAAAGTTATTTTTAACAGGATATACTTAATACAATCAATTAAACACAGCTACATGTAGAATTGATTAAAATGTTACAATACACAACGTATCCGTTATAACAGGAAAAATTCGAGAGAAGTAACGAGATGGGCGGAGCAAAATGGTGGGGCGATTTCAGTAGATTTTGGTTGGTTAACTTTTTTGGTTGGTCGAGAACTTACAATAGCGTTCCTTTTTCCCTCCATGCCTCCGCAACATGCTTCAGGGGGTCCAGAATAGAGGGTCTCTATGGGGACGCACCCGGTGTGGACCACCCTTAGTTAAGATTAGAGTGAGACAGGAGATGCGGAAAGACCGTCGTGATGCTGTCAACCGCCCAATCTATCATACTAAACTCGATTTCTTTCCTCTATACTCAATAGCGAGATTGGCAATACCGCGCGAAGAGAAACGAAACAAACGAACGTCCCCCCTCGTAACATAGCAGTAATAATTCCATACCTTCGTCACGTGGTAAAATGGAAAATTTCGTATGCTCCTGGGTCTGGGTTTGCTCTGTATATTTGCCCAGTAATAATAATGCCTTGACGATATATAAAAACATCGCTAGTAATATTTCAACAATTATTGACAACATTTAATATCACAATATACGTATTTAATTAGAAGATTTAATATAACAATAATAATAATAAAAATTCTATTATAATCAAAGTTCTATTATAATCAAATATTTTAAATACTCTGGTACTAGTATATACAGTATGTAAATCTTTATCAAATAAGACAAGTCTTAGATAAACATATATCTATATCTCTGTTTACATATAACGATATATGAAATAAATATTTATCGGGCACCTTTTCCTCATGGACTATATGTCTCACATATAGCTACTTCCTTGAAGACTATCGCCTTTTAGGCCAACTTAAAATATGCATGTCTTTATCGACTCTCTGACTGAACACATGCAGGGACGGCATTACGACAGGACTCAAAATAAAGCTCATCAGATGCTTGTTAGTTTTCTCAGTTAATCCTTTCTACTTCTTTGGATTCTTATAACCGTAAAGATTTGCCTCGTAATGTAGACTTTATAGCAATGTAACTTATTCGTGTATAATGTGCATATGAATCAATTAGTAGTATCCAGGTACCTGAATATTCCGATGTTACCTAAATACCTAAATCTTTCGAACATTACCCAGATATTCAGATACGTGAATACTGTAATTAATGTTAATGTAAACAGCACGTTAGAAAAATGTAAGAAAAAATCAATTGATGCAAAATCAACTACTGCGAAAATTAATAA